CTGGCTCTTACACTCTTCCTGCCTCCTCTTCTCTGGGGTTCCCTGAGCCCTGAAGGAGGAATGTGATGGAGACATCCTGTTTAGAGCTGAGTATGAGATGCACTGGATTGTTACAGGCAGCTTGATTGGGCTATTTACAGTAATTCAGACGTCAGAGGCATCCATGCTGACATAGGCTCTGGAAGCACTGTCCTAGTGCTGAGATTATGCTTTTCAGGGGAAGTAAACTGTATTTACCGGTACACTGGTTTGTGAAGTTGAAATAAAAGGATGCCAAACTCTGCAAGTAAACCAATGAACCCTGATGGTATCCCTGTCTTGTGCCATAGCTGTTATGCCCATTTCATGGTTAAGGAAGCTGTGAACAAGGCATTTCATTCAGAGTCCCAAGATATATGGAACTCAGGCTTCAGGATTTAGCTAAATAGAGTTGACACTGTCCATCCCATTTTCTTTTTTCTTATGCTGCTTCTTTCTTTGCCTTCTGCTCTCTTCCTCCTCTGAAGTTATAATGCAGAGGTAACCTAGAAATTGTGTGGTAGTCAGTGAGAGGGAAATCTGCCCTCTGAGGCCCAAGTACAAATGTCAAGTGCCTTTCCATGGCTCCACATCACCATAAAGACCCCAGCTCCCTGCACTGCAAATGCCAGCATACTTGGCTGCTCTTCTACTTAATGTAGTTTTTCTATTTACCAGATTTTTAACTTATTTTATTATTTGAGGCAGAATCTCCTACTGACTTTCACCCTTTCTGTTCAGATTCCTAACTAGTGAATTCCAGGAACAATAAAAAATAAATAAAAGAAAAAAAACCTTGTCACCCCTAAAGGAGATTTATCAAATGTTTCACTCTTATATTTCTATGTATGTATAAATTGTACTGCATTTAGAAAGTCCTTGTCAAACTTTCAGATAGAACCTATAACTAATTTTCTTTCTTTATCTTTTTTGAGACAGGGTCTCTGTGTGTAACCCTGGCTGTCTTGGAACTCACTCTGTAGACTAGGCACGCTTCAAACACACAGAGATCCACTTTCCTCTACCTTCTGATTACTAGGTGTTATGTAAGGCATGGATCAC